GTTAGCCATTGTTGCATTTCATGACTATGAAATATGGAAAATAGATGTCAAAACCGCTTTCCTTAATGGGAAGTTGGCTGACGATGTTTACGTGAGTCATCCAGAGGGGTTTGTCAGCACAAAGTACCCTAATAGAGTGTGTAAGCTTGAGAAGTCCATATATGGATTGAAACAAGCACATCGCAGATGGAATCTTTGTTTCGATGAGAAAGTCAAAGAGTTTGGTTTTTCGAGAAGTGAAGATGAGTCCTGTGTATATGTCAGAGCTAGTGGGAGTATAGTTAGCTTCTTGGTGCTGTATGTGGATGACATACTGCTTATAGGAAATGACATCCCAACCTTGCAGGAGGTGAAGTCCTGGCTTGGGAAGTGTTTTGATATGAAGGATCTTGGAGAGGCTACCTATATCCTAGGGATAAGGATATTAAGAGACAGGAGTAAAAGACTAATTGGACTTAGTCAGAGTACCTACTTGGATAAAGTTTTGAAAAGGTTCAACATGCAGAATTCCAAGAAAGGAGAATTATTGATCCAAAGCAATGCCAAACTGAGCAAGGCTCAGAGCCCGAGTACAGAGGCTGAGATAGCTGAGATGATTCGATTACCATATGCTTCCGCTGTTGGCTCGATCATGTATGCTATGACTTGTACCCGCCCTGATGTGGCCTTTGCTTTGAGCATGGTCAACAGATATCAGGGGAAACCTGGCAAGGCTCATTGGACTATGGTAAAGAATATTCTCAAGTACTTGCGGAGGACTAAGGATTGGATCCTTACCCTTGGTGGGAGTGATGACTAGAGAGTAGTAGGGTATAGTGATGCTAGCTTTCAGACTGATAGGGATAACTTCCACTCTCAGTCGGGCTGGGTCTTTACTCTAAATGGAGGGGCAATCACTTGGAAGAGTTCCAAGGAGGAGACAGTAGCTGATTCGACCTGTGAATCAGAGTACATAGCAACGAGTGAATCAGCAAAGGAGGCGATATGGCTGAAGAACTTCATGGGAGACCTTGGAGTTGTACCAGCTATTAAGGAGCCTATGGAGATTTTCTGTGGCAGCAATAGTGTGTTTGCCTTAGCCAAGGAACCGAGAGATCATGGCAGATCCAGACACATTGATAGAAAATATCACTTCATAAGACACAAGATAGAAGAAGGACTCCTCGTGGCAAAGAGGGTATCATCAGAAGAGAATCCTGCAGATCCCCTTACGAAGGGACTGACGAGGGTTAGGCATTTACAGCATGCGAGGCGCATCGGGCTGATGGATGATGTTAGTTTTACAGATTAGATAGCTATTTCTGAAACTTGTAAAATGTAATCCACATTTGATGATGAATAAAAGGTGTGTTTATTTATGAGTAAGGTGTTACTGTCTTTTGTCAATTATTTACTATTGTTTTAGCTTTGCATGTTTTGACTTCCAGAATAAATTACTTTGTTCAAACTTCCACAGTCGGTCATACGTAGGAGGTAGGTATGAATTAAGACTGTCATGAATTGGGTTTGTAGATGACTAAAGGTGTTTAGCCATAGCAATGGTTGCTACAACATTCATGAGTGCTCATAAGTTCTGAGTATTGGAATAAACCCACGCTCACTTGCATCACTTCATGGAATTTATCTCAAGTGATCGTGAGACGGTAATATCATATAAGTCTTCAAACCAAGAGATATGAGTTCTTGCCTATGAGTTGGTTGTGCATTGATTGCACGAAAACGCATCAGTAACTTGATGTTATAAAACGTGCCTTTGTGTATAATTCAACAAGTAGTAGAACAAGTATATGAGTCGAAGTTTATCTATTCCTTCTAGTCCTTGGAGGATTAGAAGCGAAATATGGGCCCCTCGATGATTTTGTTTTGACCTATGTACCGGGCCCGGTCAGAACCTAATTCATGTGTTCAATTTAGTTCTATGTCAAACAAATCAGAAATCGGGAAACAAACTGATGGACAATAAGTACGACGTTGTTCCATGTATTTGTCCTGCTGATATCTTGAGAACAGAGGATTATATGATCACTTATCTAAAATGGCGCTTCATAGTTCAACAGAGTTTTAAGAGCTACGATTGCCGGTTGGTTCCTGAAGTAATATAGGCAAATATAGTTATTAGACTTATCCAAGAGGGAGACTATTGGATAAGGTGTCTAAGTCCATAACTTTATTTGGTATATACTTGACCCGAACCGGCATGGTCCATTTGGGTTGCACTTCACCCGAACTATTTGTGTGGTTAAACCTTTGAGAATTGTATGTTTATGATTCGTTAATATATTATAAGTTATAATATATTAATATGAAATCATATTATTTAATTAGTATTTCATTATAAATTAATTTAGAATTAATTTGGTGATAAAAAAGGTGGCTAATTAAATATGGGCTCTTGTATTTATATAAGTGTGGGCTAATACTCATTTGGAATGGGCTTGGCGTGCATGGGAGTCCATGGATAGTCCATGGAGCTTTTAACCCATGGATCCTTGGAAAGGAAGAGTCATGGGTATTAGGGTTTACATGGATGTAACCCTAATCCTCCACACTATATAAAGGAGCTTGTGATGCTTGAAATGGCACTAAGTGTGTGTGTAAAGAAGGTGGCCGATTTCTACAAGCAAACATACACTCTCATAGTTTTTCCGAAGTTTGTGGTGATTTGTGACTTCCATTTGAGGCATCCACATTATCGGTGCTTGGCTCTCAAACTCCATGGAATCAACTCACTATTGAAAGGTATGTAATTCTTCTAGCTTTTATGTTTAAAGTTCCCCATGCCATGCTAGATAGGTTATGAACCTTGGAAAAACAAATTTGCATGTATTCATAGTAAAACATAGATCCAAGGTTTCTAGGGTTGCATGTACACCATAGGAGTGTTAGGATGCTCAAAACCCGAAATTAATTCTGAGTCAATTCCAGCTACAAACATGATAGAGATGTTCTATCAGATGGGTTATACATGTGACATTTCATTATTGTCAAAGTTCCGAAAATCCTTCTTATGGCCTATATGGAATGGATTATTTACCCTTTTGTTCAAAAGTCTATTAGAGAGGGTTTTGGGCACTGATAGTGCGGGCATAATTTTTACATGTTGATATATGGGTTATACACTGGTGTAAACATGGATTTTGGGTCTGTGGTATGGGCTCAATTTGTTCAAAGTACCAGCTACACGACTCGTCATATAGAAATCTCATGTGCTAGGTTTTGGTCGATCGTTGTCAAACGGGCTCTTATTCACTACAAGGTCCCTCAAATGACAGATTCTTTAATTGCTAACATTCCGAAGCTCCCGACCACTACTTTTGTTATGATAGATCCTCAGAATTTTGAATTCGTTGGATCCATTTCGGAAGTTATGTTGGAAAAGATCCCTGTGAACAACACTATAATTAGGGCTTATTGGAAATTGCCCTCATCGGTGTTCGTCCAATCCCTGCTAACTTGAGAAGATTATTGATGTAGGTCACTTACCTAAACGAGGTGGTAAACGATAACCAAAGCCTGCTCCTTCCGTAGGAGAGCATGTTTCTAAGAAAGTTAATAAACCAGTTTAGAAGACAAGATCTCCATCTCCGGTGACAGAAGATGACTCAGAAGAGAGACTAAAACAGAAGTTCACGGGGATAATGTTTTCTGAAATGATGATGAAGATACAGCTCATACTTCTGAACCACCTACTCTTGAAACATCTATCAAGGTATCTTCTCCTCAATCATCTTTCATTCCAGAATCATACATTTTTTAAACCATAATGAAGGAACCATTTCTGAATCTCACCACTTCTCCTCCTCCACGTCCATTCAATTCACCAAAATTATCCATCGCAACCTCACCTCTTACCACATCGATTCCGATATCATCCAATCCTCCACTACTAAAGATGAGTTATGTTGAAACATGTCTGACTCAAATTTCAATCCCACTTTCAGCTCCATTTTTCTCAGACTCAACCATTCCTTCTACTTCAGCTGTCACAACTCCACCAGAAGTTCCTATTATCAAGTCCGTTTTGAGGCGATTAGGACATCAGGCATCCCTGGTAACACATCTGATGTGGGGCCAAATGCCAACATTGGTGTGTCATTGGAACCAACTTCTTATTCTGTTCCACCTCTGCATGAGGATGCTTCTATACTATTTGGGGACGATCAAGAACCCATTGATGACTTTGTCTTTGAACCTTTTACTGTCAACATCAATAGTGAAGATGACAATGCCCCCATTACTAAAGGTCAATTCAAGCGGCTGAATGAAAAGCTTGACTCTATTCTTGAGCATTCAAATGCTTTTTCTTCCACAAAATGGGAGAATTTGTTGACGAATCATACAAAAACGGTGGAAATGCTAACGTCAACAAATGTTAAGGTTCTTGAAGAAACAAGGAAGACTGCTCAATCTTCAGAAAAGAAAATTACAACAGCTACGGAGAAGGTCAATAAATTGATACAGGAAGTCCAAGAGTTCATGACTCACTTCAGAACTTCTTCTGATAAAATGTGGTTGATGTGAATAAGGTAATTGAAGGTTTTCAGACTTCTTTACAATATGAAAAATAAGATCTCTCTAGCCTCCGATTTGGAATTCAATGTGACAATGTTTATCTTCATACATCATTCTACGAAATAATTCTACGATTACAAAATGATTTGGCTGCTGAGAACAAGATCATGGATGCATTAGCTGAACAAACTTAGAAAAGAAAGGTGCTACAAGAAAAATTGAAGCATGCATCAATCAATATTGCGGAGCTTGAAGAAGAAAATATTTTGGTTCAAGGGCGCAACTTTGAAATCAAACAAAGATTGATGTATATTGTTAAGTCCAGAGATGCTTCGTTCACTGACTATGTTGGTCAGATTCTTAGTAAGAAGCTTAAGCTTGTGTTTGAGAAACTTAATGAAATCCATAATGTTACGAGAAGCAAGGCTTCTTCGTAAACAAGGGGAGAACATGAGGTAAACATAAACAATCCGTATCAGACCGACTTCATGAAAACTAAAGAAGCTGATACGATCTCGTTGGAAAATAAAAATCTTGCTGAAAAATTCAAGAATATCAAGGAAGTCAAGACTGCTTGGAAGGATCATGTTTCTTCGAGATCAGGAAATGGCAAAGTCAACATCGTTTACGAAAAAGTTATTGAGGAAGATCCGATGTTGATTGAGTCAAAACGAATTGCAAGACAAAAGAGGGACAAGGAACATGATGAACTCAATGCCCTAAGGGAAAAGTTGGATGGTGAAGAGGCTGAAGCCAAGAATTCTGAAATCATTCTTGAGAACAAGAAAGCTTTATTTCCGGCCTGGACTTTTGAGCGTATGCAGAAGGAAGCTATCAATGAGCCAAATAATTTTTGGTTGGAACCAAAAACCTCTTTTGACATAAATAACGACGTGGAGTGTCAAATCGATTTACCTATCACTCCAAGTGCTTCTCTCTTCCGATGCTTTGAGAAGATAGAAAAATCTGTGATCTCCAACAATGTAGTCAACTGAAAGCTCTTCTCGTTCTACTTGAAACATGCAAAACCTCAGTACGATTCATAGAGTCTGAAAAGAATCGCAGGTCTGAAGGTTGGTCTACCTATTCAAATAGAAGACTTTCTAAACAATCAATTCAAAGGATTTCAAGGTCACAATCATATTCTTCATGAGTTTAAATTGGTGGATCTACCATTTATGAACCTCTATGATTGGATTTAGTTATTCCACATTGTTGCAAAGGATTTGAAAAATTACGAACCAATCTATAAACATTTGAAGAGGATGATAAATGTTACATCCTGGAGCTAGCGAAGATGGATGAATAAACTGCTTCAGTTCTGAAAAGGAAACCTATATTGAAGCCTTTTGACCAACCCCAAAACATTGCAAATCTGGAGCATTGTTTACAAGAAGAAGGAAGGTAAAGAGATTAAGAAATGTATGTTCTTTTTGAGGGATAAGCACATATACCATACAAGTGCTCTGAACTCAATCGTGTATAGAGCCAAAGCAAACAAGTCCAACTCTGCTGCCGACGTCAAATGTGTTTCTGATATGATCTGCTAGTATCTTTCTGTCAGGGCATCCATTCTGAAGATTATGCCGAAGATTTTTGAAGACCAGAGGAAATAAGACTTCTTCATTCCGATTTGACACAAAGGGGGTGGGGGATTGTTAAGTCATTATTTGTGCCATGTCAAAATAATTGTTTTCGTAATTTAGTCTTGTTCCGATTCCGAAATGGGCATGTCTATTTTCAGAATCGTTATCCTTTACATCTATAAATAGTGTACTGTTATTGTCTTTTTACTGGAGATGGCGTCCTAGCATGAATGAATAGTTCCGATCTAGTATACGAATCGTTCTAATGCTAAGTGAATGAAGTTTAATCTCTTTTCAATCATTATCATTCCAAATCATTAATTCATCTTATAATAGAGCATCTATCGATCATTTTATTCTAAGATGATCAACACAAATATTCCTGCCTATGTAATATTTTAACAGTACAGGGTATTGATGGGGTTTGAGCATTCTAACACTTCCTAAGTGTACATGCAACCCTAATAACCTTGGATCTATGTTTGTCTAATAATCATGCAAAGTTGAATTTCCAAGGTTATATTCCTATCTAGCATACATGGGGGGGATTTTTAACTTGAATGAAAGATAGAATAACTTACCTTGTTGTTGATTAGGATCCTTGAAACCTTGTGAGCCTAGCACCCTAAGTGTGATGCCTCAAATGCTTTACACAACACCAAATGCAAAGGAGTAAACTTTGAGAGAATCTTACACTTGCAAAATCGGCTCTAGCCCTCTTGCTTCTTAGTGTAGCCTATTTTGGTGGAGAATGGGTTTCTTATATAGTGTTGACACATCTAGGGTTACACCATGTAAACCCTAATGTGTCATGACTCTTCATTTCCATGACCCATGGGTTTGTAACTCCCATGGAGCATCCTATGGGTGGAACCCAACTTGCTAATCCATGGAGCCTCTTAGCCCACTATATAAGATATGGAAGATTTACATAATCTACCCATATATTTTATTAGTTATCTTTTGATCACTTAATTAATTCTAAATTAATTCTTGATCAAACTAATTAAATAATATTATTAATATATTAGAACTTATAATATATTAATAAACCATAAGTGTTATTTCTCTCATTTTAGTTTATCCAATTACATGGTGCCATGCAACCCAAATGGACATGCGGGTCAGGTCAAGTACATCCCAGAAATAGTTATGGACTTTATACACCTTATCCAACAGTCTCCCACTTGGATAAGTTCTAATAACTATAACTGCAATACTTCAGGAACCGATCGGAAATCGTAGCTCTTTCAAGGTCTCTCTGAACTGAGAAGATGATGATATGCCATTTAAGATAAGTGATCATATAATCCTTTGTTCTAGATATCAGCCGGACAAATACATGGAACAATGTCTTACTTATTGTCCAACAGTTTGTTTCCCGATTTCCGATTTGTTTGACAAAGAACTTAATTGAACACATCAACTTAGTTCTGACCGGGCCCGGTACATAGGTCAAAACAAAATCATCGAGGGGGGCCCAGATATCAGCTTCTAATCCAAGAAGAAACAGATAAACTTCGACTCATATGTTTGTTCTACCACTCATTGAATTATACACAAAAGCACGTTTTATAACATCGAGTTACCAATGCGTTAACGTACAATCAATGCATAACCAACTCATAAGTAACAAATCATATCTCTAGGTTTCAAGACTTATATGATATTACCGTCTCACGATCACTCGAGATAAATTCCATGAAGTGATTCCAGTGAGCGTGGGTTGAGTCCAATGCTCAGAATTATGAGCACTCATGAGTGTTGTAGCCATGTCCAACAACTTAGACCTCTGCAACCAATCATGAGTCTTGATTCATACCTACTTCCGACATATGACCGACTGTGGAGGTTCGAATAATATGATATACCAAACATAATTATTCTGGAAGTCAAAACATGCAAAAGAAATATAGTAAACGATCGACAAAGAATAGCAACACTTTACTCATAAATAAAACACCTTTTATTCATCATCTAATGTCAATTACACTTTACAAATTTCAAGGTTTATCTAAATACTAAATCTAATATCATCCTCAGCCCTATGCTCCGAGCATGCTGGAGATGCTTAAACCCGAGTCAGTCCCTTCGTGATGGGATCTGCTGGATTCTCATCCGATGATACCCTCTTTGCCACGAGGAGTCCCTTCTTCTATTCGATGTCTGATGAAATGGTATTTTCTGTCGATGTGTGTCTGGATCTCCCGTGATCCCTTGGTTCCTTGGATAAGGAAACTGTACTTTCACTATCACAGAAATTTCCATGGCTTTTAATAGCTGGTACAACTCCAAGGTCTCCAATGAAGTTCTTCAGTCATATCGCCTCCTTTGCTGCCTCGTAGCTGCTATTATACTCTGATTCGCAAGTTGAATCAGCCACTGTCTCTTGCTGGAACTCTTCCAAGAAATTGCTCCTCCATTTAAGGTAAAGACCCAGCCTGACTGAGAGCGGAAATTATCCCTATCAGTCTGAAAGCTAGCATCACTATACCCTACAACTCTCAAGTCTTCACTCCCACCGAGGGTAAGGACCCAGTCCTTAGTCCTCCGTAGGTACTTGAGGATATTCTTTACCGCAGTCCAGTGTGCCTTGCCAGGGTCCCCTGATACCTGCTAACCATGCTCAAAGAAAAGGCTACATCAGGTCGAGTACACGTCATAGCATACATGATCGATCCTATAGCCGAAGCATAAGGTATTCGACTCATTTCTGCTATCTCAGCCTCAGTACTAGGGCTTTGTGTCCTTACTCGCAATCTGGTGTTACTCTGGATGGGTAACTCTCCTTTTCTTGGAGTCCTGCATGCCGAATCTCTTCAACACCTTATCCAAGTAAGTACTCTGACTAAGTCCAATTAGGTCTTTTACTCCGGTCTCTCAAGATCCTTATCCCTAGAATATAGGCAACTTCTCCTAGGTCCTTCATAGAGAAACACTTCCCAAGCCAGGACTTAACTTCCTGTAGAGTTGGGATGACATTTCCTATGAGTAGTATGTCATCCACATACAATACCAAAAAGCTAACTATACTCCCACTAGCTTGACATATACACAAGATTCATCTTCACTCCTAGAAAAGCCAAATTCCTTGACTTTCTATCAAAGCAAAGATTCCATTTGCGAGGTGCTTGTTTAAACCCATAAATGGATTTCTCAAGCTTACACACTTTATTAGGGTACTTGTATTGATAAAACCCTCTGGCTGACTCATGTAAACATCCTCAGCAACTTTCCATTAAGGAAAGCGGTTTTGACATCCATTTGCCATATATTCATAGTCATGAAATGCAGTATGGCTAACAGAAACCCTAATAGACTTAATCTTGGCCACTGGAGAAAGGTCTCATCATAAATCAACTCCCGGAGTTTGTGAGAAAATTTGCAACCAGTCGTGCCTTATAAGTGTGTACATTACCATCCATGTCGGTCTTCTTCTTGAAGATCCATTTGCACCCTACAGTCTTACGACCTGGTACATTCTCAACCAGTTCCAAACTTGATTGTCATATAATGGACTGTATCTCGCTGTCATTGCCTCTTTCCACTTGGCTGACTCAGGGCCTGCCATGGCTTCGCGTAACTGTTAGGTTCATCCAGACCTATCAGTGTCTATCACTGATAAGTGTATCACCTTTGCAGTAATATGGAATCCATAGTAAGCTCAGGTGCATCCTAACCCTTGTGGAACGCCTTAGAGGTACAGACTTGTCAATTGGCTCAACAGAAGTTTCCTCCTCAAGTTGAGTGCTAGGGTTTGAAGTTCCTTCACCACTTGACTCTGAATTTCTTCAAGGTCAAACTTGCCTCCCCTGTCTCCTTGGCTTATGAACTCGCTCTCTCTCAGAAAGAAAGCCCTCCTAGCTACAAAGACCACATTCTCACTAGGTCTGTAGAAGAGGTTAACCAAAGGATTTCTGTGGGTAGCCGATGAAAATACACCTTCACTTCGAGGTTCGAGCTTATCATGAGTCTCGCGTCTCACGAAAGCCTCGCAACCCCAAATCTTAATGTGGTCTAGTTGGGTGGGTACTTTACAAGTCCACATCTCATGAGGAGTTTTGGCAACTTTCTTTGTGGGAACTAGATTAAGGATATGGGCGGCAGTCTCTAAGGCATACCCGCAAAATGAGATGGTAGTAGCGAAGCTCGACTCATCATGGAACGAACCATATCCAACAAGGTTCGATTTACACCTCTCAGCTACCCTTCAACTGCGGTTGTCCTAGGAGGTGTCAATTGTGAGACAATCCCACATTCCCTAAGATAGTCGAGGAACTCTGAACTAAGATACTCACCACCTCGATCGGATCGAAGCTCTTATATGTCCTGCCCAATTGATTCTCGACTTCCGTTAACAATTCTTTAAACCTCTCAAAAGTCTCTGACTATGCTTGATTAAGTAGAATATCCATATCTACTGTAATCATCAGTAAAAGTCACAATAATAACGATTAGCATCCTTGTGGCATGTTTGAAGGGCCCACACACATCTGTGTGTATAGATCCAAAAAACCTTCACCCCTCTCACAAGAACCTGTGAAGGGTGACTTTGTTATTTTTCCAAGTAAGCATGATTCGCAACTATCATCTGACTTTAGGTCAAATGACTTCCACTACTCCATCCTTTTGGAGGTGGCCTATGCGTTTGTTGTTTATATGTCCAAGACGACAATGCCATAATGATGTTTATCCAAGTTATATTATTAACAAAAATCAATACACAATACATTATTTCCGATAGTTATCACCACAGTTACAGTTTCATACACGCCATCTCAAGGTAATGCTTTAAAATAAAGAACATTATTAAAGAACGCATTTAATCGAAAAACTTCTATTATTAATGAAAGTGTGAAACTTGTTTATACAATGCATGAAAGGAAATAATGTGTCTTGCCATTTCTGGCGAATAACAACACTTATTCAAATCTAACCTAAACCCACTACTTAGCAATAAAGTATAAAATCCAATCTTGGTGACAGGTAAAGCTTTCCTATTCCCCATGATGTAAGTTATTCTTCCATGCTCCACATTTCACTTCTTCTTAGTCCCTGCAAATCAGAACAGATATGAATACCACAAAACGGTATCAAGGACACCAAGAGTTAGAATGGGGTGAGTTATTAGATAAGATAGTGTAAATACCTGCATGGTTGGGTTTAAACTTTCCCATCCTTCACATCTTTGCTGGTATTTTGGGCAGTTCCGCTTCCAATGTGACTTTTCATGGCAATAGAAGAATTCAGCCTCTCTTTTGGGTCAGAAGAAAGAGTGACGAAACCTTTCTGGTTCCACTTGAAGAAGATCCACAAGGGTCCTAGCCTTGGTACCCTTCGAAGAGCTCTTCCTCTTCTTCCCTCTACCTTCCCCGATTGCCAAAACCGGGGCGGATTTTGGAGTAGGAGTGTTAACAACTGACTTACC